ACACACACACACACACACACACACACACACACACACACACACACACAGTATGAGTCACATTTCTCATTCCGTTATGATTGTATAATAGCAAAATCTGACGCTATCCAACTATCACAACAAAACATTGGGCAGTTAAAAAGAAAAGAATCATATCTTTGTAATTTAAAAGTCAGAAGTGACAAACACCGAGTGTAGCATCGAAAACTCACTTTGATGTACAACAGACTAACTCATTCTACAGATCAAAGACTTGTACAGTAAAACTGCTGCTTTTTCCCCCCCGTTTCAAATGGAAACAACGTCTGATGCATATCCTATTGATCATTAATCAAAGTATTGGGACATTAAGAAGCTTAAACTTCTATTGGTTTTGTTATTTTAATACAATTTAACAATTAGTCTACTAGCAATGTTTCAAGTCGGTGAGGTGGAAACCATAACTGTAAAAATTGCATACAGGCTCTTGATGTTTTACTTTTTACTATCACAAATATGAATCATTATAACATGTTTGCATACAATTTAAAGTCAAATTGGTTAAGGAGCGATGGCATGCTGGGAGATAAGCTTCTGAGCTTTCTTGCGTAGACGATCAATACCACGCTCACGTCTGGAACATCCAGCCCGGCTCCGTCAGCCTAAATGCACCTCGGACGCTCACTGATGAACACGTTACGTCTGCAGGACGTCAATGCAACCAGCACAGAACTCCTGTTCAACACCAGTTTAACGTGTTGATCAGAGAGCTGTAGAGGGTTACCTTCGGACAGAGAAAGGCAGTTTCATATTTACCATACAATCTTCTCAACTCCCAAAATGTCAGACCTAAACCTTCAATGACACCAAAACCTGCTGACTTGGAGCATCAATTTGAACAAAAACCTGGATTGTTGAGGCAAATAACAATATTTGAAAGTTTAAAAAGATCAGATGACGATCTATCGGCCAATATTTGTTTAACATTGAAGTTTCTCTAAAGTTGTGACTGACGCGTGCTGACACGTGACAGACTGTGTAATAGAAACAGTTTATCTCAAACACATCTTTGACATTTGACCATTTATTGTCCCTTATTAGCCGACACATGCAGATATAGTGGTGATATGCTGATCAGCCGGTAACACTAATCAGACTCTATCACAGATGATTTCATTGGCTCTAAAGGAAGGGGCTTGTTCAATGATCAATAGGCTGCTCACCGAGAATGTACGACGCCATTTACAACTAGCTTGAACATGTGACTGTGTTTAGTGCTTCACGTTCCAACAGCTTCTGATTGGTGAAGCGGTTATTAACCGACATGATGCACACAGAGGACCAACGCCTCCGGTTACTTTGGGCTGAATGAATTAAAAAAAAGACAAGAAATGCTTTCACCTTCCTCTCACACTCATCGTATTCACTTGGCTTGAAGTGCTTGAGACAGAGAAGTAAGAACAGAACAAAAAGGTTGCTGTACTCCCAGAACGAGTCTGTTGCAGTGAGCCTGATCACATCGGTTGGCTATGAAAACAGATTACGATACTTTCCGTGATCTCTCCCTTTCTCCCTTTGTTTAATATCAAGCCTGCTTAAACATTTAACACCCTGTTCAAAGTTATTGTAAACCTTACTTCACCTACCAATCCAGCCACAGTGGGGCCCACTTACTCCCAAAAGTGACCAACGAGCACCATCACATTACTCACAGAGACGGCCTGTGTTTCTTTAAAAACAAAAAAATAAAAATAAAATCTTTTTTCATTTCTTTTTTTTTTTTTTAAAGAGAGATAAACTCATCCAAGAGGCAGCTGAGGCCAATGTCAACACGAGAAGAATTACAAGCTGAACACGTCGCTCAAATCACATAACAGTTACGGAGCAGGGGGTCGGGGGTCGGGGGGGGAGAGAGGGGGTCGGACTTTGGAAGGCTGCTGGCTGGGGACGGGCAGAGGGCTGGCTGAGGAGCTGAGGAGCATGTGGTTTGGACGAGAATGTGTTCTACTTGTCTCTCGACAAGTACATAAGCAATCGCTTTAACATGTCCGACTAAATATGATTGTCTTCAAAGTAACATTTTCTAGTTATGTTTTGCTTTTGTAAAAATGTCAGGACTCTGAAGTCTGTCTTTCTCCAAAGCTTGTCAAATGTCCCTTCTGCACTCCACCCCACAGTGGCCTCCTCCTCCTGCAGCCTTTCAGCTCAGCCTGGCTTCCTCTGGCTTCCACCTCCTCTCCTCGCTCCCTTTCGCTTTGCAAAAGGAGGTCTAGGGGCTAGACAATGGAGTCCCAATCAAAGTCATCCTGGATGTCATCAGCTGGCATGCGATGCATCTGGAAGTTTCTGGTAGGTATCATGTGCTGCTGGTTCATCTGTGCATGGTGTCCTGGAGAGAGAACAGACAGAGTCAGATCCACCCAGCTGTTAAGCTTTGCTAAGGCAAAAAGCTGGATTTAGTGAGTTTATTCATAAAAACGTGAATATAAGTTTTCATAATGTGCTGCAAGTAATGATGTTAATCATGTCTTTCTCTGTGTCTTCTTGTCACCTGTCATCGTGGGTCCTGTGCTGCTCATGGGGGGCATGTGTGGATATCCTGGCGGACCCATCATGGACATGTTCTGTCTGGTGTCCATGTAGAGATTTCCTGAAGAGACAATCAGAACAAGACTATATTTTAATCCTCAGTTAAACCAGGAAATGCACCTCTTGAATTCAAGTAATGCATCTGATATACAGTTGCTACCCACAGGTGAAACATCATGGTCTATACTATTATCTACATGGATGGATCATGTTTTGTCTTTTAGCTACAGTGTATTTATTACCTGTGGCTCCCCTCAAACAGAAACACGAGTGAGAGAGTAACTCACAGGGTTGGTTTATTTTTATTTATCGTGTTTATTTTTTCAGACATTACTCTTATCTTTTGTTTTTTTTCCTGATGAATTACAAAATAATTTGATCTCTTCAGGCCTGATAAAATAAATAAATCATTATGTGGTTGAACTGGTTACAACTGGTAGACATAAAAGGTTGTGAATCACTGGCATGAACGGCAAGCAGAGGTCATGTGCAAAAAGACACTTAAAAAGGCACTTAGAGAGGGAACTGTAGGTGAGATCAATTCAGACAATGGACTCGTGTATTCATTATTTCAACCTTTTTTTGCAGTTGTTTTGAAGTTCTATATACTGTAAAATACTATTTTCCTCGGAAAGAAAACCAGATAAAATGCCTACATCTTTGCAGATGCATTGGTTATTTAGAGGCAGAGAAACAGCTGCTCTCCTAATGATGATGAACTACACACATTCAATCAAACATGAGGTGGTAGGGTTAAGGAGCGGGAGTTTAACCTGCGTTGAGGTGCTGGCTGGGTTTGCTGGGGTGCATGGAGCCATGACAAACAGTAGGCTGCACCGCCCCTTGTGGCTGGATTACGCCGGTGCGGGCAAAGAACTGGTTGATGGACGAGCAGAGGTCGGCGATCTGGGTGGGTTCCAGGGTCCAATTGTTCAACTCCGCTTGCCTCATACTCTCTCTCAATCCTAAGGGCCACAAAACACAGATTTGTAGACAGAACAACCTGAGTTAGCATCAGAGCTAGTGACGGTATCCGTCTGCACTAAAACGCCTTTGTGACAATGAAATGTATGAAACTGCACCAGCCGACTGAAGAATATAAATTTAGTAAATGAGAAACTAATTAACAAAGACAAGGATAAACTTTGGTTGCAATATATATTCATTACGTCAGTAACCTTCAGTGGGTGATATTTAAAAAACATCCTACCTTGCAATCCTAGACTGTAATTGGATAAACTGACCTGCTGAGCTCAGTGTTTTGGTAATTAAACTTGAAGGCAGTGTTATTTAATTGAAGAGCTCAGTTTAATTAAACTCGTAATCAACTCCACAGTGTCAACACTTCAGCACTCAATCAAAAGCTGGGGCAGTACTGTGCTGTCAGCTCCTGCTTTTAAATCTTTTGTTTCTTCTGTCATCTAGAAAAATCTTAATCTGGAGAACAAATAAATAAAATACATTACTATTATTCGTTTGATATTTGTGTCCAAACCGCACCTTGGAAAGGTGAAAGGTCGACATCAGCCCAGTTATAGCTGCTAGCAATACGACAGCTTTCTTTCAGTGCATCCAGATTTGGGTACCAGTCAGACAGTAAACCTGTAACACACACACAGCACACTATCTGTAACATTTCAAGATAAGAGACTTGAAGGATAAAGAGAATTTTGGTCTCGACACCGAGATCACTCTTGGGGGACAAATACAGATTTACTCCGAATTACATAATTTACGGACAACTGCACAATAATTGCTGCTGTAATTGTTACAAACTGTGGTTCAGGTAATAAAGGCCAGATGATGCATTTTCATTGTCGTCACATTTTTTTGTAGCTGTGCAGGCAGTCGTGTCGCCGAATGAATGAGAAGGCAGCACCAAATAGAACAGGTGATCAGGCTCTAGAACAGTTAAGCTCTGTGTTGTGACCACTAGGAGGAGCCAGTCCACCCTGTAACAGCTGCTGGAGTCACTGGATGCAGCATTGCTTTGTTCTCACAACAGCACAGATAATAAATCAGGTGATGATTTACTGTTCAGCACCTTTACATTTCCATAGCACATAACAATTTCTAAACGCTTTACGACTAAAAATGACAATGATACAAAAAACCATACGCAGCTGTTGTCTCTGCTGACATGTGTCTGAGTGATGGAGATGAGGAGGAGAGAACAACACGGCGGAGACAATGACAGACAGAGGGTCTTACCTGGGTTGCAGGCCATCTGTTGCTGGGTAGGATGGGGCTGGTGGGAGAGGCTCTGATGCGGCTGTCCGTGTTGCTGCGGGTGCTGGCTGTGCTGCGTGTGTTGGGAGGGGTGCGCCGTGTGTTGCTGTGGGTGCTGGCCGTGGGGCGGGTGCTGCGATGGGTGCTGCCCGTGCTGGGAGTGTGCAGCGTGTTGCGGGTGCTGACTGTGTTGGCTGTGCTGGGCGTGTTGGTTGTGGGGGCCGCCGTGCTGCGGGAGGTGCTGTGCGTGGGGGGAGCCGTGGCCAGGGTGGGCTTGGGCCGGATGGGACAGGGGCACCTGGCCACTGTTGGCGGGGTGGCTGTTGGGTTGGTTGTTTGACAGGCTGTTCTGAGTGCTAATGGTGCCACTGGGGGAGTGCTGATAGGAGCAGGAGGTGTGGGACTGCTGGGAGGAATCTGACGGTATGCCCATCAGGCCTGGGAAACAAAACACACCAACACAAAGCTCTTAATAGTGCGGTAACAGATAGTCGGTAACAGATATGTCGATCGACAGACAACTATGATTATTAACAGTTTTGATCATTGATAGTGCTGCAACTGACCTTTTAATGTTGATTAAATTGACATTATTTTTCTAATTTCTCAATAAGTCGATTTGTCTAATAAACAGTTTTCCCGTCTTTAAACGTCTTTTTTTGTATTGATATAAAATCAGCAAAAAATCTGCAAATTCTTACACTGAACAAGCTAATGGCTTCAAATGATTATCCAATCATAAAATTGTCGCAGATTGTTTTTCTGAAAAAAAGCCTCTTGTTTGCAACACTTCTCAATTTTGAGAATTTGCTAATTTTTTCCGTTTCTTCTCATTGTAAATGGAAGATATTTGGGTTTTGGATTACAGCAAAAGACATTTGCAGACCTCACCTTTGGGAATCACTGAATCTAAAAGTAATTGATTAATTGATGGTCAAAATATCTTTAGTTGAAACCATAGCTGGTGAAATGAGACTCCAGGCTAGTACTCAAATACGAGTCACAGTTTCCAGAGTGAGGTGCGTTGGTATAATGCGCTTCAGGATCGTCAAATATAAAAACAGCTACTTCCATATTACAATAACGGGATCACCGTCTCACATGACTGAAGGAATACTTCAGCCCCCAAAGGGCCATTCGTATATCAATGACTCACGTGGTGTTACTTTGAATTTGTGAGGAAAATTTTGTCTCAATGGTGAACGAAGACTCAAAAAACAGAGAAAACACTTGATGAATTGAAGTGAATGTGGGTCGCGTTGACAACAACAAACTATATAAAAACAGCAGTTTAAAAACTCACGACTCGTGCCGTATGATCCGAGTCTCATTTATCCGGTTCCACACTGCTTCCCAAACACATGCATCTTCCCTAAAACCTTGCTATTTAAAAACACTGGCGTAAACAGTCTCACGCTTGCGCAGACGAGGTACTCGTCTATGAGAGTACCGTTTATGTGGCATTTAAAACAGTAAGGTTTCAGTGAAAATGCAAGATTTGTTTTGTGAGTTTTTAAACTGATGTTTTGATGTAGTTTGTTGTCGTCATTTACTTCAATTCATCAAGAATCTTCTCAGTTCTTAAGAGTCTTCATTCCCCGTGGAGAAAAAAATAAATATTGATAATCGATGTAAAAATGGTCGTTTTGCAGGTGAAGAATTCCTTGAAGTAGTTGTACACTTGAGATGGACCAGCTGCCATTTTGTTGTGTCTGGGGATGACTCAGCATCAGTTGTGTCTCCAGCTACACAGCTCTGGATCGTCTTTGACCGATTTATCGTGCCGCTGCACGGCTCTTAAAACAGACATGACTGGTACATGGACATCTGCACACCCAACTGCAATCATCTGAGTGGCAGGGAGTGGTCTTAAGAGGCCCCGTCCTTCACAGCTTTGGCACAGTAAACCTATTTCACTGGAGTGCTTTTAGAGCCGACTCCAGCCCTGCACCTCCACAATCGGTACGTAACACTCACTGCAGGGGTGACAAAGGTGCATCTCTTATCGGCACAGAAAGCCCATTGTCCAACCAGGGAAATACAGAAAGCAATTAACGCGGCACCAGAATAATAATGCGAGCTCATTACCTATTATCAAAGCCAGTGAATTAGCTCACTGTCTACAGCGGCAGAGTGTGAAATCCTCTAGCTCGATTATTTACGCTTTTTAATTGCTAAAGCTTGTCCGACTAAGAGATTTCACTTTTATGCGCATAAAAAAAAGGTAACAACTTTGAACTAATGAAACATAGATGATAGATTAAAGGAGAGGAACTCTTTGAAAACATTAGCATGAAATGCATTTGATTTGTGAAAGTAGGTTATACACAGAAAGCTCGGTCTACTTTGCTCATAACCTGCTTGTCAAGTGCTCTTTGTTTATCAGTCAATCAGATTACAAGCAAAAAAAAAAAAAAAAAAAAAAAAAAAAAAAAAAAAAAAAAAAAAAATGCATTTTGTTCTGCGGGGACTTTTGGAAAGCTGTGCTCTATCCGCTACGATGTATTATATCGTGCACATTCCCCATCATTATGACAAATGAACCTCAAATCCAGCAGATTTGACCTCCTTTACTCCTCTGATTGAAACGCAGCCTCCATGAGAAAACATCTCAAACGTGACAACAAGACGCAGACAACTTTCATGTCATTTGAAAGATATAAAGCAAGAAGGCTGGCGTATCAAATCTGAACGAACCATGAATGCAGTAACATCTGGTTTTACATCCTCTAATGAAATATTTAAGACGTGAACTCTCAGACTCGGCTTTTGAATATGAGACATTACTCTGGCAGAAGACCATGAAAATACTCAGCCTGTGCAATACCTGCTTACTTCACAGGAAATCTAATTAGCACCTAAAGACTCTACAGCCCCAGCTGTTAAGAACAAACCAACATCAGGAATTTGCTCTGAGAGTCATCGCATTCCTTGATAAATAAAGCTTGGGCTCTTTATTAGATTTCCACTTGATGCTCCCGTGAGGCCACTCACCTTGTTGGCTGAAGGACTGCTCAAAAACAGACTTGTAAAGGCTGCGGAAGGAGGCACTGAGATCTTCAAATTCAGAGAACAGGAGCTGCTTGTCCCTGTCTGGCATGTTGTACTGGGACTGGGGGGGCTGCTGGAGGCTCATAGACTGGGACACGGGCTCTGGGTGACTGCTCACCTGGAGAGACGAGGAGATAAAGAACGCTAAAGATTAACAAAAGTAAACGTGCGTTTAGTCAATCACAGTATATTTCATGTTTAATTTGTGATTAGATTTCATGGTAAAAGTACACTGGCTACAGCTTTGCTACATCTGCACCACAGACTACAGCAGCGCAGTATAAAGTTAAAACATATTAATAACATACATATTCAAAAGCGCCGCCATGCTCATCTGGTCATGGAGCCACAAAAACAGAAAAAAACAGAAAACCTCTGGAATATTAAATGCAAAGTTTGTGATTTATGTGAATGCACGCAGCAAACACACATGTATGAGGATGGTTCGAGTCTTCTGAGGAGCCACTTTAATAATGTTTCTGTCTGACACTCGGCATGTAAAGAACAATAACGGATCACAATGATCTAGGTCAGAGCTTAGTTACCGCCTTGGCTCAAATACCATTAAAAGACCAACTCGAATGGACACAAACCCAATACTCTGGTGGCCTAGCAAAATGTATTTAAAACAAAATCAATAGCAATACCTTGTACAAATAAGCAGCCATTTTATCCATGCATTTGTGTGGGCAGTCAGTATTATGCACTGCCCCGAGGTGTGAGACGGCAAGCAGCGCTCCCTCCAGCAAACCAGTTTGTCTACGAGATTCGTAGCAGCGATGAAAAACCATCGCTATTTCACAAAGCAGGACCTGACCCTGTGTCAACCGTGGGGCTAGCGTTACAAGAGAGGCCACGTCCAATTCTTGATCAGAACATCTTCCTCTACCAAGATGTGGCCACGCTGCTGAAGTGCACGGCTCGCAGTCTGGCTTGGGTAAGAGTGAAGAGGTGAAAATGAAGCCAGAGTGTTTACTGTGAGCTTGCTGCTTTGGCTGCGAGAGAGAGAGAGAGGGAGAGAGCACATCCATCAGGCTGAGCCGATCGATGCTCAGCGCCTCGAGCAGGGAGCACTCTAGGATGCAGGAGGACCACACCAAAGAGGGGGCATCTCTGGTGGGAGGACATCAGAGGAAGCGCTTTCCTTTGTCTGGCTTCCAGGAGCGTGCACATCTTTCTCTGTTGCCCTTAACCCCCTTCCTGATGTTGTACTCTAGCGCATGTCCACCCTGAACCTCCGTCTATTGCTGTCTACGGCTGGCTCCTCTGAAGAAAGCCTCCTGGGCGCTTTCCGCTCAGATGAAATATGGGAGAAATATGCGTTTCATTTTCATTCATTCAGTGACTGTGGCTCTCCCACAGCTTAAAACATGTGAATAAAATGAGAATTCATCATTTGGCCTTAGCGCTGAACAAATAATCAGCTCCATCACATTTATATAAATATCTTGTTACAAATATCCAACTCGGGGACATTCATGAGCTGCAACATGGAGAATTACCAGCGTCCTTTAAGGACCAGCAGGGCAACAGTATACTGGTACACTGCCACAGCAGGACCTTATTCGTTCTGTCTTTGTTCCACTGCAACATGTAGATTGATGGTCTTACCGGCGTGTAGCTGTGCACACTGCCCACACTGTTGAGATTGACGGAGGCCAGACTCTGATCAGACAGGCTGTTGTTAAGGCTGCTTCTTGGACTATCGCTCCCTTCCTGGTCTGTGTTGTACAACGCCACCTGAAACACACACACACACACACGTGTACAGTAGCTTGTTATCTCAGATACACACACACACACACACACACTCTCACACTCTCACTAATGTTATTATAATGGTTGTAACGATACATCGCTCTGGATCTGTATACCGATTCAACGATCAACGATCTAAAAACATCAATACACATCATCTTTAAGATGCACTTCATTTTCTAATTCCTATTTACACAGTAAAAATGTATGTTTATATAAATGTAACTGATTGTGTTAAATCAACATTGTCAGGCGTTGTGATATCAGCAGATATTGATTTGTTGTCCAAAGAATCGTCGTATGGATATCGCATCGGGATGAAACGTGTGATTTACATCACTAGTTACTAATTGTTATCACCAATCTTGCTTGACGGTAGCGCACGTCAGCAGTCCTCTGAGACAATGATGGTCTACAGTCAAACAATGTAATTTAGTATGGAAATGTAAAGCCTGAGCATGTGTGTGTGTGTGTGTGCTGCATGCAATGACATGTCATAATAGCAGAGTGCTTGCTTTCCCCTTCACTGAGGGTGTGTGTGTGTGTGTCGGAGACACAGGGTGCTGCTGAACACCCACCACAGTCACTAAGGGGTTCAAGCTGAGTGTGTGAAGGGGTCTGGAGACAGCTGAGGCATTCCTATCACTAAAGGTCACACTGCTGGCGATGTCAGCCACATCTGCTCACCGAGTGCAAATACGTTTGGGACAACTAACAAAGGATTGCAGTGCAGCCGAAGACACTGACCTTTCAATATAGCAGCGAAACTAGCCGAAGCACTTCAGGACGACAATCTTAATTATCGTCTAACAAGGTTTCAGCCCTCCCGCCCTTCCCAAATAAAGTGCACCGTCAGACAATCAAGACAACAGTAAGAGCGAACCAGATAATGACTATAATGATATCCGCAGAGAATAGTCCATGTGTTGAGTTTTGTATTGTGAGAGAGGAATGGTAGTAATGCACCGATGGCGTTGCGGTGGAAGAGGGCCTGGCATTCAAAGATCGGTGTTTGTGTGTGTCTGTCCATGACCGACTGCAGCATGGTGGCTTCTGCTCATCGCTGAGAGTGGAACAGAGTGGGCTCTGTGCTCAGCACAATGAGACAGCAGTGGCAGCAGCCTTCAGGCAGGCAGATTGGCCCGGCCCTGCCCAGCATCCTGCCTCTCAGCGGCAGCAGTGGACTGAAGCCTCTTGTGTTTCTGCTGAGGCACAGTGAGCTACTGCAGAGGCCACGAGGACGCGAGCAAACCCAGGCAGCCTTGACTGCCTTCTCTGCTCCGACTGATTGGTCCGCTGACTAACACGCTGGTACGACTCCAGGACGCACACATGCAGAGCGAGAGCGTACGATCATATTAAGCTTTTAATATGGAGCTTGGCTCCTGAGCCGGTAGAATGAGAGTACTGCAATTAAAAATAAAAAAAACTGATGAATCCAGGCAACACTGTACGAGGAAGAGGGGGGAGGCTGAGAGGAGAATTGGGGGGGGGGGTAGTAAGAGAAGCTCATTAAGCAACTCTAGCCTTCCTCCACTCAGTGTGGGCTTGGCTCCAGTGTTCATTAGCGTGAAGGGGAACTCAATGAACAGCTAAGACTGAAAGGCTTAAGCACGTCTACAATATCAGCCCTACAATGCTAATCAAAAGCAGCGTGCCACAGAAATATAAATGTTATGTGTAATGAAGTCATAAAACAGGCTTTTAGCCTTAAGTCTCTCACCGCAATCTATTTTTACTCCACTCACCCATAACGTGTGATGATTTCAAAACATCACTGCTCTGTGGGTTACGCAGACCCCAGAGTCCCCCGAGTGAAGACACCCACTCGAGCATGCTCCGTCACAGACAAACACCCAGTCGCATCTCGCCCACTTGCGTAGAAGCATGCACAAACATATGACACACACGCGCATTTCTACAGATACAGATGTGCACAACGGCAGGATAACACACACAAACAAAAACACACAGACAGAGGCAGGCGTGCTCATACAGGCAGGAGCGGCTCCACAGTAAATACTGTGTACAGTGTTAGCTAGCAGGCGAGCGAGTCAGAGTTCTATTCTTAGCAGTGAATTAAGTAAAAAGCCAGAGGTGTCTTTTACATAGGGGCCTAATCTGGAGCATGAGACATGGATTATGAAATCAAAGCAAGATTGGCCCAGGTGTCTCCAACAATGCCAGCTAGTGTTCAGCACAATCCCTGCATGTAGGATTGAACAGACAGGGAGTGAGAGAGAGAGGGAGAGAGGAGAGGGGGGGAGCCAGACTATTCATCAGCAAACACACTTCACAACAATCCCCTCTTTCCCTTCATCATCACACTTCAGTGCCAGAGTTTCATCACATTCAAGCCAATGTTTAGGGCCGGCTCTCCCCCCCCCCCCCCCCCCCCCCCCCAGCGAAATGTCAGGATGTATGGGAGAAAGGCACAAAAAAAAAAAAAAAAAGAGGGGGGGGGGGACAATTTTGTGAGGAATGTCCGACAGAAGAGAGAAAAAGAAAAGAGATTCCTGCTGGTTCAGTATTCGCCCTGCCAGCGTCTCCCATTGGTCTATCTGAGAAGGCGGGAATGAGGGAGAGAGACTGGAATAGAAAACGGAGAGAGAGAGAGAGAGAGAGAGAGAGAGAGAGAGAGAGAGAGAGAGCGAGAGAGAGAGAGAGAAAACCAGAGAGGGAATTCCTGTGGCTTGGCACACTGCACCGAAAGAGGCGTGGCCTGTCGTGTGTTTACAGTGTAAGACAGTGAGAAACAAGCTCTCTCCGAGGAGTTCAGGCCTCAGATCTGTTGCTATTTAACTTTGTCTTCCGTTCACTTCGCCACCTTAACAGTTTTTGTCGCAATCAAGTGAACAAAAGACACAAATCAAAACTTCTTTTCATCAGCTCTTGCAATCACACAGTAGTCATCATGTCTTGTGCAGTTTTAATGTTTTCTGCTTGTTGCTCATGTGAGTTATTTGACTCGAGGTATTTGATGGCAGGAGGCCAAACTCTAAGCTGTCAGCTCTCTACATTAGGGCCTCATTATGCAGTAACCGCTGGTGGAGACTGGTGCTGTGGCAAGTGCTTGTTTGTAGCAATCACAGAGAGAGAGAAAAAAAAAAGGGTCATCTTTCCACACACATGGGCCCATGAATCTGTCTGCTAGAGCAACATGAAAAACGGCATGTTTTCTATAGAAACAGCCCCAAGCTAATAGTGACTGACATACTCATCAAAACAAGCTGTAACATACTGTACATACATGTACACACAAGTTAAATCCAGTGGCGGGCCCTGCATTTTATACCTAGGCCTTCACTGTTTTCCTGCAGCTGAAATACCACCTTATAACCACATGATGGCGCCACAGTTATTAGTTTCTAAGGCTGTAACTATGTACGTATTAAATGTACGTACCCATGTACGTACCGTTCGGTACGAGACTTGCAATATGTTTGAATAGTACTAGAAAATGCAGAAGCTCATATTCAGGAAAATATAATGTTTTCTGTGCTCATGGAGGACAGTGGTTCTCAGCTGGTCTGGCTGTGGGACCCACCATCACTCCTTTATGACAAGTCGCGGCCCAAAGAGATCGTCTCACGATTTTACTTTCACAGCTTGAACATTGAACGTACTGCTCTGCAGTGTCTTTCCTCGTCTCAGTCCCCTGTGTCATGGTGTGTGGTACATCTCACGCAGTCAGAATGCCCATATTTGATTGGCTGAGCTGCATCACGTGATGTTATTCACTACCCGACTAAGCCTCTCGTTTCACGATAGTCATGTGCTCGCCCACTGACCAATCACAGCACACTCTGCACCTCGCGGCAGAGCTGCACATGGACACTGAGCGGCATGTAATGCTGACGTCATTATAGGCCGGCTAGCAGGTGCTGACACGTCAAAGAATACGCCCAACATGTCAAACTAAAGATCTGATTGGTTGAACACTATGACAATCAACAATATCGTCCCCATTCACTTAAACTGCACATGGATTCACTTGAGAGACTGCAGGCCTCGGGCCTCTCTTCTTACCTAGAGACACAGAGGTGAAATCTGATTGGATAAAAGCTCTACTTAAAACAAGCTGCACTGGAAGCAGAGCAACTGAGGAAGACATTAGCTGTGCAATGAGAAAATAAGATAATGGAAAAAATATTTTTATAAATTATAATCATGTAGTGTATTTAAGAAAAAAATATTAAATTATAAAATAGATATAGCTTTGTGATTCTGTTTAGGCCAGCAGAGAAGGCCTTGCAGGCCCTGACGGCCCACCACTGGTTAAATCACACACCGACATAGTCCCCATCTCACACTCACACACACACACACACACACACACACACACACACACACACACACTATAACTCCTCTTTCCTATGAACAGTCCTGATCACATTTTTTTTTTTGTAAAGTTTGCAGCAAATGAATAAGCGACTCTTGTAGGCTTTTCTAAAAGTGCACTTGAGAGCTGCCCCCACTGGGCCCAGAGGATGAGAGCTTAAGGTTAAAAAGCCTATTTAAATTTCAGAGTGAGCGGCACACTCACAGCTAACAGCTAGCAGTCCCTGCAGCTTTGCTCTGTGATGTACAAGTGGCTCCAAGCTTTTACACACATATTGAAAAATAAAGAGAGCGAGAGGACCGCGAGAGGCGGCGGTCACCTGTAGTGCGACGGCGTAATGTGTTCACAGAGTGAGAAACGCGACTCTGGGCGTCAACCTCCACTACAGGCGTGAGTACAGAAACCCCACGCCGCGTGTGGTGTATCCTATTGCTGGTCTGCACGGGACTGTGTAAGGTCTACCGGGTTGCGAAGTGCTAAGTATCAGTGTGAGCATCACATTTCCGTGCTGAAGATAACAAGAGCCTGTTGTTGTTGTAGAGGAAAAAAGGTGCTGCAGTGCAGATAGTTGTGTATTTTGGTGTGGGTTGCAATGCAGAGAAGCTTTAGGCATATGAGCATGTGTGTGTGTGTGTGTGTGTGTGTGTGTGTGTGTGTGTGTGTGTGTGTGTGTATCTCCCCTCCACTAGAGTGCTCCTCGCTCTGTGGGGAATATTGCAGTAGGTGGTTGGAGAAGTGGGTGGGGTCAGGGTGCAGCAGTGTAGCCAGGTGTGTGTTGGAGCTGGAGGCTGGATGGCTGGCTCTAGTACCTTGTTAGTCACAGTGTTGATTGCCAGTGTTGGAGAGGCACTTCCAGAGATCATACACTCCATCCCCAAAGACTCCGACTCCAGGCTGTACGGCGTGGATGCCTGTGGGGGTTGGGGGCGGGGTGTGGAGGCAGACAAAAAATAATAATAATAAAAATTCAGCACCATCTAATTATCGAACACATGAGATCCCACTGCAGGTTGCAAAGGAAAGACCTGTATTATTTGTATAGTTTGTGAAAAATATCCTTCTGCACGATACAAAAAAACAAACCAGATCTATTGTCATTTGGCAGAGCAACACCTTTATTTAGGTCACATTTGAACTGTGCTTTCTGAGACGGTGGAGGCAGCCCCCCCTAACCCAACCCTCACCTCCCAAACACACACACACACACACACACACACACACACACACACACACACACA